TAGATAGATAGATAGATAGATAGATAGATAGATAGATAGATAGATAGATATTTCTTGTGTGTGCACAAACCAGAAACTGGATGAGTGCTAGGATTCCTCTCTTAATCACTTTCCCATCTTATTTTTTGAGATGGGTTCTCTCACAGAACCCTGAGCTCACTGTTTCAGCTAAATTAGCAGGTCATAAGACCCCTCAGATCTGCCTGCTTTTGCCTACCAGCTCTGAGGTTATAGCCGTGTGCAGCCATGGTTGTTTTTTAAGTAGGTGGTATGCATCCAAACTCATATCCTCATGGTTAAAGAAGGAACACCTCACACTGTGTGCTATCACTCCAACCATTTCTCTTTTTCTGATGAACTAGTCATCATGAAGTAAACATGATCCATGCAGGATTCTCAGTATGATGTGCAGCCTTACCACAGACCTAAAGACAACAGTTAAAGAGGCAAGATCTGAGCCCTTTGCAGCCATGAACAAAAATAAATGATTCTCCTAATAGCTCATTATCTCTGATATGTTGCCACAGCAGCAGAATACAACACAACTTAAACTGGATCAACTGCTCCAAATCTAAGGCTGATGCAATAAATAATCTTATTTGATAAGATACGGTAAGAACTATTAAGATAGAGTTGTCCTAACAATACAAGAAACTATCCACTACAGTGATATCACAAATTCCAGAGTTTATACATGCCAACTATGGGCTCTGTCCTTCGAAAATGTGATTAATTCTAAAATAATTACACACTTTCACCATAAGTTACAAAAATTTAAGAATTATTTACACCACTCCTTGGCATCTGACCAAAGGACTCACCACCCTACTCCATAGATACTTGGTAAGCCATATTCATTGCTACTGTATCCACAACAGCTAGGAAATAGAAATAACTTAAATGTCCTCCAAATGATGAAGGTTTAATGAAAAAGTAGTACATAAATATAATAAAATTCTATTCTACTGCAAAAAAAATGAAACCAAGAAATTTTCAGGTAAATGATGAAATATTATATTGAGAGAGGTAATCTAGATCCTGAAAAGCAAATGCCAGATGCATCCTAACTCTGAAACTTCAGATGTTTGTGTATAACCTAGAGTAACTACAGAAACAAAGAAAGTAAAAAGGAGCCATGGGTGGGAGAAGGAATAAAGAGAAGGGACAGTAGGAGTCAGATCCTATAAAAGGGGTTACAGGGAAGTAGCACACAGAAAAGGTGTGTGTGCATGCAAAGCAGATCTGAGCTAACTGGTCTACCTCCAAATTTAACACTTCAACCACAACCTCCTGAGGCCTCCATAGGAGACCAAATAAAGACTAGGTCTTGATTTTAGGCAGAAATAAAAAAACAAAGATGATAGGATAATAACAGTAGTGGTTGTGATCAGGACGAAAAATCTGCACGTTAGAAAAATTATAAAAGTAAGACTCACAGCAACTGTAAGAAGTAATAACTAGTGGATAAGTAGGACCCTGATGGAGATTCGAAGAGGAAAACACTACTAGAACAGTATTTAACTCAGGAATAAAAGTGACTGGCACCTTGGTTATTACCATCACACATTATTGTATTATCTCTGGATAAAAGAAAAGTTCCAAAGGTCAGAACATCCCAGTCTTCATGAGCAAGAGTAACATCTGTATGAGCTACAGGGCAGTAGCTTTTCCTTTCTACAGATGTGTCTAACCTTTTGACATCACAAAATGACATTATCATCCATGACATTTCACACCAGAAATTCAAGATCAAATTTTCAAAATAAAATTCATTATTTTTTTTAAGACTCATAACATCTTAATACAGTTTAGGATTTTCTGTTGAGCTGCACTCATACCTGTCCTTACCTGAATTCAGGTTAGAATACAGGCTGGACATACGTACCTCTTACCTCAAGTATGTTCATCTACACAATACTGACCTTTTCAGGACTACCATCAGATTGAAATGTGTCTATAGATACATTAAGATTAAGAATACATGTGGAGAAGAGATGAAGTTTAAAGTTAAGGCTGGGTGGGGATAGCAAAATAGGAATATAGCAAGCATTCAAATGATTTAAAAATAATATTCCTCCCATTCAAAATGGGAATGGATACCTCCCTCCTCCTGCTTGGGGATTATCAGCTTCTCTGTCTTTACTTGTCCTTTCTTCATCCTGTCTCAAAGGAAGCATCCTTTCTCCCCATTAAAGCTAATCTTTCATTTGTGTTCTCTATTACTCTCTGCTTCTCCTTGAATTTTGCTC